GAATCTGCCTGTAATGCAGGAGATGCAGGTTTGATCCCTGGGTTGAGAAGATCCCCTGCAGGAGGGCATGGCAAACCACTCTAGTATTCTTGCCTGGAGAATCCCATGGACAGAGGAGCCTGGAGGGCTACAGTTCATAGGGCCACAAAGATTTGGACACGCCTGAAATGACTGAGCATACACACACATGAACTTCAGAACCTTCAGTACTTTCACATAGCTGGTGCAGTCACAAGCAGCTCCTGAAATCACTGGGCGAAGGCCAGGGCTGGCTTTACAGTTTGGTGACCATCCCTCACTGTGGTTTAGGAATCATTAATAGCTGACCTACATTGAGCTTCTCTGGTGGTTCAGACGGTAAAGAATCTGCCTGCAATGTAGGAGACCAGGGTTCAATCCCTGGGTTGGGAAGATCCCCTGGAGAAGGAAAAGGCAACCCACTACAGTATTCTTGCCTCGAGAATCCCATGGACAGAGAAGCCTGGTGGGCTACAGTCCATGGGGTCACAAAGAGTTGGACACCAATGAGCAACTAACACACTTATGTTAGTGTGTTATTGGGGGCTTATGTGCCAAGCACCACTCCAAATGTTTTGCCTGCATTTACTCATTTCATCCTCACAACCCTATGAAATATCACCTGGGGAGGTACAAATACCACCCTGTGGTACAAAGAAGGTGCAGAGAAGTAATTTGCCTGGACTTAACAACCTCAGCAACCTGAAGCCAGATCATGTGCTTTGGCTCTAGTTTTTGGCCTCCAAGCCAATTCATATACCTGAAAATTTCAATACAACCATGGCAAACTTCCTGGAATTCCTCCAACTGGACTTAAGACATTTACCTCTGTCTGTGTTTCCCTTCTCATTCCCATCTCTTCTCTTCCTTGACCGCATCCGTCAGGTCTCCGCTTCAGGTGCCAAGGCTCTAAAGACCTTACCTGGCTTACTCTCCAATCAGAATCCATCTCTCTGTTCTTAGGTGCCCATTGTTGAAACTTTCCTGGCACGTCCCACATCAGGCCTGGGATGAATCACTTGAATGTTTGTCTATCTCCCCAGCTAAACTGAGAGCTCTGGGAGGGCAGGGGGTGGGTGGGTCTTAATGTTATCTTTTTAGGGCTTGCAGGGGGCTTGCTGGGCACTCGGTAGGTGCTAGAGATGAGATGAGATGAGGGGATGAGAATCATTTCACTCGGGAGATGAGAATCTTTTATTTTTAAGGAGTCGCGAGGTGCCGTCGGGCGGCTGTGTCTTGTCTGGGACGACGGTGTGGGCTGAGCCGCCCTGGCCCGGCCGCTCTCCCCTGGCCCCCACCCGCCCTGGCCTGGCTTGCCGCTTGGCAGGGCTCCGGCGGCCGCGAAGGCCTCTGCTGCCCCGACACTGGCCTCGGCCCAGTTTCCCGGCTTCTAAATGCGGCCCGGAGCTACCGGGGGAACTGGAAAAACACTGGCAGGCGGCCCCACCCCCGGGCCCAGCGGGTCGGGCGGCCGCGTTTCTGCGGCTAAGGGCCTGCTGCTTGGGAGGCGCTGGGGCCCCGGGCGGGGAAGCGGGGGAGGCGGCCGGGCGCGGGCGGCTGCCTGCCTGTCAGCGGGAGCGGGCGCGGGCTCGTGTGTCAGCGGCTCCCTCCTCCCTCTCCCCCCGCCACCGCCCGCCGGGCCTCCCGGCCTCCCGCCGCCGCCGCCGCCGCCCGCTCCCCCCGCGGCCTGGCAGGCTGCCGGCTGCACAGGCGGGGGTTCGCGCCGTTCTCACGACCTCTCAGGTTGCCTGAGCTCATCTGGGAGCTATTCATTTCCTGCCAGAAAGCAGCCGGGCCTGCTAAGCAAACCACCTTGGCCGCAGGGCCGCCGGGGCTGGCCCGGCGTGGCCGCCCCGGCCTGCTCCCCGCCCGGGCCGCGAGCCGCGGCGGCCTCCCTGGAACCCCCGGCGGCCCCGGCGGGCGTGAGGCGGGGGCAGCTTGGCCGCCCATCTGGTTGCACTTAGGAGCCGGGGAGGAAGCTAGCAGCGGGTTGTTACCGGCCAAGGGGTGTGGGAAAAGTTAATTGACTTTAATGACAGGTTTCCCGGGACGGCGGTGACGATGAGGGGGTCCAGCTTAACCCCTAGGTCCCCACTCCAGCAACACGTGGGATGGAATGGGGCGCGCGGAGGGGGCGCGCCTCCCAGTCGCGGCAACTCGCTACTTAGAGAAGGCTCCCGAGTCTAGACCCAGGAGAGCCAACCATCTCTCCATCCCCCGCCCCGCTTCCAGTTCAGCGCCTTTCCAGCTCCGGATGCTGCCGGGCACGGCGGGGGGCCCGAGCCCGGGAGGGTCTCCATTGAGAGGCTAATGCCAGCGGCTGCGAGGTCAACGGCCCGCATCCGGACGTGGAGATTGGAGGCGCTCCTTATCGGGAGCCACCGGCACCGCCCCGGGGCGGAGGAGAGGGGCTGCTGGGTGCGACTCAAGATTGTGTAATTCGTTCTGGCCCGAAGGATCCTGATGTGGGCAAGACTGAAGCTTCTCCTCTCCCCCAGCTAATTACTGCAGAAAGAGCCTGGGTGCCGGAGAGTACAGGGCCTTAGAAATAAACACACTCCTTTCATGGGCTTGGAAATGTCCCAGAGAAGGGAAATGACTCACCCAAAGAGATACAGTGAGCTTGCCGGCAGAACCGGCAGAAGAGCCTGAAAATTCCCACTGGGGCCTAGGGTCCACCCTTTCTTTTTACGGAAATGCCTCATCTACTAGTTTAAACCCAAATTTCAGGGGGAAAAAGACCACTTTCAAAGTACAAATTATTTTCAAACGAACAAATGTTTACTTCTTTAACATCACTCCCCTCAATATCTGTGGACTTTTGATATTAATTAAAATCCGCTTTTTTTCAGTGGTTTCCCTTCAGCACAGGGAAGATGAAGAGATTGAGTTTTGAGTTGATTTAATGATTGCACTGTGTCAATTTTTAAGAATATAAATGCATTTTTATAAAAATGAGATTCTGTTGTCTCCCTTATTTCTGCCAGGACACTTCCGGTAGAGCCAGAGGACAGATTTACCAAGTGAAGCATTTGAGCTTGGGTTGGGTGTCTTAAAAGAGCAATTGTTATTATGTCTGTGTTTAAACAGGAGAGAAATGGCAGGAAAATGATATGATAAAGAAGGGTGTGTGTGTGTGTCTATTTCTTTGGGGGGAAGGTATGTTGAACACCTTTCACAGAGGCAAAATGAGGCAAGTAGGAGCCAACATTTTAAAAGTATTTTTAAAATCTTTCACTCTAGATCTGAAGCTGGATGGAAGGTATTTGAGTAGAAAACTGACTGCTGTCTGCTAGATCATTCCAGTGATAGAGCGGCTCTCCACACTGGCCTGTGGGAAAGGCCAGCCAGGCAGGGGAGAGGTAAAGCTTTTGAAATAAGACAGAAAATCGTTGGCTTTATCTTTGTTAGGAAAGCTTCAAAGATTGATCTCTCCCGCCTCATCCTTCTCCTCCCAGAAGCCCTTCTAAGAGAGGGGTGGGGGCGGCGAGAGGAGGCTGGCGGGAGGGGCCAGGCCGGGGGGTGGGGTGGGGGGGGGGGAGGACTGGCCGGCGGTGCGGGAGGAGGGCGCGCCCGCCAGACCCACAGCGCGGCTGATGTGTCTGGTCTCGCAGGGCTCGTGGTTTTCATTTCCCCAACACCTGGATGCAGTCAAACACCTGGCCAAATCTGACAAAATCTGACAAGCCTTTGTGATGGGATTTGGAAGAAATTCCCTGCAGATCCTGGCACAGTTTAAAGCTGTCCGCTTTGAGTTAGGACTTGTTAAGGAGGGTTATGTGAGCTGAAACCCGAGACAACCCTTTTGCTTCTATCTGGAGCCCACATCTTGCCTGGAAATGGGGCATGACCAAGCAAAGGGGTCGCTTGCTGTTTGTATTAAAAGGGGAAGATGGTCTGTGTGCTTGCCAGGACGGCCTCCACATGCTTTCTCTATTAGAGCCAAGCACAGACACTTATCAAAAACATATGTCTGGTGTTAATCATCTGGACTGGGGCTCCACTTGGGAGTCTAACTAGCTGTTCCTTGGCAGAAGGAATCTGTTGACCTTCTCAGCTTGCTTGAAGAGGGTGCAGAGAGGCATTTCAAACTTTTAGGTGCTGCTACAGAAAATGTCTAGCTGCAAGAATTGACTAATTAAAGAAAGACTCCAACACTTGAAGGCTGGAGCTGCAGCTCTGAAGACTTTTTGCTTGGATGCTTGTGAGATACTCTAGGGCACTAGTGCTGCAGGAGCCGCCCGTAAAAGTGCAGTGGGCACCTAGTACTGGGTTGATTAACTTCATGAATTCAGCCCCCTTCCATCTTCCTCAGAAGGAGTCAGGATGAGAACCAGGACTGAATGAACCCACCTGCAACTAAAAAGGTTTTTGAAATCTTTTAAGAGACTGACCACAAATTGATCAAGGAAGCCATAACAGATGGGTTCTCACAAATTAAATGGAATTTAGCTCAAGGAGCAGTGGTAAAAGGCTTGATGGGTTTTTAAAAATGTTCTTTTAATAACAAAAGGAGACAATCCCTGAATTCTCAGATTATGTGTAATTCAAATTCTGCCACGACCTTCATTTTTACATATTCTGAAATAATCAATTCTAAGACATAAGAACCTTCACTCTTTTTACTTTTATTATATTTTCTCAAATAAACTTCCCCAAAGGAAGATATTTTAAGAGCATTTTCAAACATCTTTGGCATCACATAAAAAAGAAATCTCGTGTAAAAAACGAAATGTCATCTGAACTTTTATAATACAAAGGCGCAATCCAATATGAACATATAAAATATATACAAATATAGTGCATGGTCAGTCACTTAATACAGCTCTCTACAAAAAAGTAACTTTAGAAATTAAAAAAAAAAAAGTAACTACTTAATCTCAAAAGTCCTCCCTTCTCTCTCAGGGTCCAAGTTCCTGTTTATCGTCCCGAGGGAAGAGAGGTGGTTTGGGGAATTTAGGGGGAGGGGTGGCCTGAGCCCCTCAGTTCCGCCACGGTCTCCACATGGAGTCTGCCGTGAGCGAGGGGCCGCTGGAAGGAGACACTGCGTTGGGGCCCACCGAGGTCCCGCTGTTGCTGGTGTAGACTGGGATGACTGGGCCGCTGTGAGCGAAGGCCCCATTGGGGATGAGGAAGGCAAACTGGCCGTCCGGCGCCGGCACCACTTGGAAGCCGCCGAACACCTTAGCCGCCTCTCCAGCCGGGCTGCCCAGCTTGCAGGGCGCGCCGCCGGGAGGGGGCGCCGCACCCCCGGGGATCGGCACGAGCGGCGGCGGCGGCGCGAACGGCGCGTGCTGCGGGCCGCCAGGTCCTGGCGGGGGCGGCGGCGGCGCCTGCAAGGCGGGGTGCGGCTGCCCTGGGTAGGTCATGGCGTTGATCTGGGTCATGCAGTTGGCCAGGTGGCCGAGGAGTCGGGTGCGCACCTCGGTGTTAACGCCCTCACACGTGGACAGGAAGCGGGTCACCTCGTTCATGCACTCGCTGAAGCCGGCACGGTACTTCCCCAGCACGCTCGGGTCTGTGCTTAGCGCGGCTGAGGGCCAGAAGGAGACGGATGGGTCACCGAAGGGCCCTGGCCCCGAAGCCACCGCCTCCGCCCTGGGAGGTCCCCGCGGCGCGCCTCCCTGACCACCCGCCCGCGGAACTGCCTCTGGGTAGCCGGCTGGGTTTAGAAAAACCATCCACCTCTCCACACTAGCTTGGCGACCGACCCCGAGACGCTCCCTTCTCCATTCCCTGTTGCTTCATTTAACCTGATCTGAAGCCTCAAATCTGCCTCCTCCCCACCCCCGCGCGATGTGACCTTGGATAGTGCCCTTCCCCCTCTTCTGCACCACCCGAGCCTTATTTCCCCTTATGTAGCGGGCGAGGAGGGCGTGCTAAACCAGATGACCCCAGGCTCCACGCAGCTTAAAAACCGCCACGGTTCTAAATCCTTTCACCCCCATCCGCTTCCCCCACTGCCAAGCCGCCCGCCGCCCTCGCCACTACAACCTCTCTCCCTCCCTTTCCGGAACAGTAACAACTTGGAGTTGTGGCTATAAATAAGCCCCAGACCGTGGGAACGCAAGAGTGAGCCAAGGCAGTAAAATGTAGCTGAATGCCTCTCACAACCACGGGCGGAAGTCTGGAAGAAATCACCGCGGGGCGAGAGGGACGCCCGCAGAGGGGGACGCGGCTAGCCGCCCTCACCCGTCATCTGTGCCCGCTGCAGGTTCCGGAGGTGTTTCACTGTCATTTCCAGAATGTCCGCCTTCTCCAGCTTGGAATGCCGCGAACTCTGCACAGAAGAGGAGGCAAAGGAGGAAAGTGAGAGCCTCGACAGAGGCCTCGGAATGGTGGGGGTCCGTCCCTCCCCCCCGGCCACGGAGGCGACAGCCCTAGACCTCGGCTAGAGGGGCCCAGCTCTCCTGCCTTTGAGAATGCGGTGCAGGCAGGGAAGACCCCGCAGGCAAGGGGATTTCATTCTTAATACATGGGGGAGAGAGAGAGAAAAAAAAAGCAGAAATACCCACTTACATCTTTTTTAAGAGCGTCCAAAATCAGTGTTTTTAGCTGGCTCAGACTTTCATTTATTCTTGCTCTTCGTCTTTTCTCCATGATAGGCTTTGATGACTGTAAAGAAAATTTTTTAAAAAGAGCGCTTGAGTTCCCATGGGACCTGCCATTTCTCCACGCGATTTTAAGGGAGAAAGGAGCCTCCAACCCCGACTTAATTTCTTGGGGGTGCAGAGAAATACAGGTACTGCCCTTACCTTTCTGTGCTCAGATGCTGTCTTTGGTTTATCCGGTGTCGTGTTGACACTGGCTGGGGTAGCAGCCACCGGGGACGAGGAATTTTTCTCCATTATATCAGCTGGCATTTTCTTTTTCTTTTTTTTAATCCCTAGAGAATTTTATTTTTGGAGTTCTTCACGCAAAAATAATTGTTTTGCTTATGTCCCTTTTACTTTAGACTTTCTCAAAACTACTGAGCAAGTGCTGAGGGTTTATTATGATATCTTATGGCTACTTGGTGATCAGTAGCGCAATTCCAGGACCAAGGAGAGAGGTAGACGGGGGATTCCGCTGTTATCAGCACCAGCTCCGGATCCTGTGTGATCCCCAGGCCCTGGCGGCCTCTATATATATCTGGGACTGCACGCGAACGGCTCGTGTGAAACTTCCCAAACTTTCTTTCCCACAGTAACTTTCAGCCAATGGGAGGAGGAGACACGCGGCACCGCTCGTGGACCGCGCCCCCCCATTGGCCGCCAGGCACAAGGCCTGGCGGCCAATGGCGCGCGCCTGAGCCCGGGGCACCAGAGGCTACAACGTCAATCAAAAGGATTTTAACCCTTTGCTCCTCTCCCTGCTGGGCTTTGCTTTAGAAAGATTTTTCCGCATTGGGTTTGCCCTAGTCTAGTTTATTTCTCTTGGGGCTTCGGCCTTTGCTCTTTATTTCCTTTCATATGTAATAGAGCTGCTTTGCCACTAATAAGTTCATTTGAAATATATATTTTAAAAGGTTTAGAAGGACAAGGATTAAAGGTTATAAATGCAGTGGTTAGAACGGGGGAATGTGTGTAAGGGTGTGAGTTACGAAAAGATTTCAGACTCCGCACGTTCGGGGGAGGAGGGGGGTGAAAGTTAACCATGCAAAAAAGGACAAAAAAAATTTCCTTTTGCATGCAGAAAAGGAAACTGCCTCCATCTTACATTTGCAGATTTTTCAGAGCAAGGTGGTTTTCGATCCCCGCCCCCACCCCGGACCGTCCCTCATTCTCCTCTGGAGTTGGGGGCCTTGGACCCCGCGCTTCCCCAGGAAACAATCAGAATAATTTCCAACTGAGCAGAAAGGAAATGGAATTTCAAATGAAAGATTAACAAGGGGGGGGGGCTTTGATGGCAATGCCTCAAGGACGCGCGCACGTCCTTGCCACCCTTTCCCTTTCCACCCACCGCCTCTTGGTTCTGCAGCGCGCCGAGGCGGCCTGCCGAGCGGCAGCCTCTCCCTCCTTCCAGCCCCGCGGGCGGCCAGGGCAGCCTCGGCACCCGGCGCGCGCGGGCCCTTTAAGAGCTACACCAGCCGAGCTGCAGTTTGACATCAGCCGGCCGGCGAGGGCGCGCCTGGAGCCGGAGCACGTGCCAGGATGTTTTATTGCCGCCGCGACTGCGGCCGGGCTGGGAGGATGTGTGTGTGTGCGTGCGTGTGTGAGTGTGTGTGCGCGCGCCCCGGGGGCAGGGAGGCGGGGGGCGGCGGCGGGCGGCGGAGCGCGGGGGCTGGTTCCTGGTCTCCGGGAGAAGCCAAGAAGGTAAATAGCAGCTGCTGTGCTCAAGCCTGGGAAAACCCCGCCCCCTGCGCCTGGCCTGGGCTCATTGGCGCGCGCTGCGTGTGGGGTGTGTGTGTGTGTGTCCGGGCCCCCCCTCCTCCGGCCCCCGCCGGGCCTGGAATCCGAGGGGGCGGCGGGCTGGGAGCCTAGCCCAGCCGCTGACCACCCGACCCCCCACCCCCAACTACCCCCGGGCCAAGGTCAGCCCTTCCGGGCGGGGAGCGCACGCCCTGGGGTGGAGAGTGGGGAATTATTCCAACCCCCCTCCACCCCAGATTTCGGGCTTGAGGTTTTAACTCCGTCGAAAGCCTCACTAGCAACAGCCCGGGGGAGGGGTGGGGGCCTTCTTGTTTGCTCCCTGCCCTGGCCCTCCCTCCCCCCGCGGGGCCCCCGGCGCCCGCCGTGGTCACGAGATGCCTGACCGCACTTAGGAAGCGGCCGGGTCAGCCTCCTGCCTCCGCTCGGCGGCTGCGGTTAAAGCGGCTTCGCGCCGCCCGCCTTCTCTCCGAGTCCAGGGAGGCCGGTTAGCTCCCCCTCGCAGCGCCCGGGAGGCCGCCGGCGGGCGGCCGGGAGGAGGCGGGCGGCGCGGGCGGCTGCGTGCTGCCGGCTGGCCGGGCCGCGCGCCGGGAGGAGCCGCCGCCGCCGCCGCCGCCGGGTGCCACGTGGCGGGCGCCGGGCCGGGAGCGCCAGGGCTCTGGCGGCGGCCTCCCAGGGGGATTTGCCGCGCAGGGCGGGCGACGCGCTCTGCCCCGGCCGGCCGCTGTCGCCCCCGCCGCCTCCCTACCGCTCGCCGGCCTGCCCGGGTCGCCGGCCCCCGCGCCCCCACCCCTTCCGCCCTTCCTGCGCCCAGGAGCTCGGGGAGCTGCTCGGGCGGCTCGGGGCAGCCCAGGAGGCGAGCGCGTCTTGTTTGATGTCGGCCCCAACCCCCACCCGCTCCCAGTCCTCCAGGCTTAGAGGCCGCCGGAGGCCTGGCACACATTTCTCAGTCACTTCATTCCTTCCTTCCTCTGAGCTCCCCACTGAGATAATGTTGTAAATGATTTCACCAGATCTGGTCCCGGATGAGATTCAGCGGTTCCTGGCTCTGGGTGACCTTGGGCAAGCCCCTCTCTTCCTTTCATTACAGGACGCATGCTCTGTGCCAGACACAGTGTTAAACCCTGGGATTACCACGAGAGATACAGTGGCAGCTTGCAAGAAACTTATGGTCAGCTCTGGAGGCAGACAGACTGATTTTCTGATTAATGATGGAAGCATGCCTCTATTCTTATTCCTTTCTCTTGGAGCTTGGGTGATGGCCCAAGAGATCAGGAGAACCTAAAAGAAACGCTGAACCATGTCTGTATGGGCAACACTATTGCTGATCTATATGGGGGAGAGGGACAGGGATGGATATAATATTAATAGTTTTCGTCCACAGGAAGCCTAGGGCATAGAGATACTGTACTTTTACGTGAAGCTGACATCTGCCTATTTTCCCATATATTCCTCTGGTAGATCCTAGGTTCAAGAGAGACAGTTATTTGTCTAGATAAAAGTAAAATGCTGTGACGGTTTAGGATAATTGATTGACTCATAAATTGGAGTATCCTGAAAAACTTCCTGGAGGAGGTGGCCTGTGCTTTCTATATTGAAAAATAGGTAGGATTGGGGCACTGGAGATGTGGTGAGTCATGAGGCTGGAAAGGATGACATTACCTATGGGATCCACAGCCTAGACTTTGAAGCTTGAGGTCTTTACTCGAGGAACATGGTCTGGAGCCCAGGCTTTGTGACAGGCAAAGAGTGTAAGAAGCCACTGGAGGAGAAGGCTTGAGTCCCTTAAACATCTTGCTAAAGACTTACCTTTACACAATGGAGAGCTGTGAAATGCTCTTGAGCAGAAATGGGACATCAGATTTCTCCTTTAGGAAGATGGTTCTGGCAAAAGAATGGAGAGTGGTTTGCAAAGTTTGAAGGCAGAGGGCCCAGTTAGGAGGTTCAAGGCAGTAAAGGAGGTTCCTAGGTGACAGGTGTAGACTGACACCCGGAAGCACCTGCCTAGAACCAGCTCACCTGGGCGTTGACTGCACATTGTCCAGTGATCCAAGTTTTGCAGAAACCTGCTACCCTTTACTGCAGTGCTCCCCCACAACCTGAAATCTAACCAAGGAATCTTTGTGACTGGGACCTTATTTATTTTCCAAGCCTCATTTTCATCTTCTAGAATAGCCCTCAAGTCTGCAGCCAAATTGTACCTCATTGCAGGCTGAGTTTACTTACTCTCGCCCCTTGGGTTCCTCTCTGGGATTTGTGTTTGTGTGTGTGTGTTCTTAACACACTGCAGAGTGGGCTATGTCCCACCATGTTCTGAAGAAATGAACAATGCCTCTTTTGTTGACCTGCGACCTGGGCCAGTGGGGTAGGGCTTTTCTTTTTTATTTTAAGCAGATGGAAAAGTGGTGACGATAGAAAATTGTCTGTTGCTTTTGAAAAAATGGAGTTTCCCTGTGTGTTTGACATCTTCTTGGTGAAAGGTGATGAGCCTGTGAAGTTACCTGGCTTTCTGCTATGCACACTTTGCCAGCTTCTTAAAATGCTTCTGCTCAGCATCTGACTTTTTAAAAACTGCATAAATACTCTGACCCAGATTCTTCCAAGGAAAGAAAATCTTCCTTGGGAAGCTTGTTAACCCTTTCTGGCTTCCCTCCAGATCTATGAGAGCCAGTGACTTCCTCTATTAAACTCTTCTATGACATTGAATGCTGTCTGCTCTTGGGCCCTAATTAACTAACCAGGTATACCACGCACTGTCCCTTCCAGCCTAAGAACCTTTTTTTCTCTCCCATTTCTGTCCTCTCCTTGGAATTTGGCACCCCAAAGGTGCGTGGAGAATGTTGAACATAGTCAAGTTATGGTCTCACTGCAGTGCCTAAAAAAGCCTCACTGGTCAAATAGTTAATCAACAACTCGTTTATTGCCACTTTAGGAGTGCTTACATTGGTAGAATGAGCAAATAGTTTAAACACACACACATATTTTCAGATAGTTGGTCAAAATTTTGCTATGAATTTGTTTCTAGGCCAGATAAACAAACAAACCAACCTATGACATCCTAGCCCTCATCCCAGGCATTCAAGAAGAAAGTCTCCTTGCAGATGTGCTCAGAGACTATTTTTCAGCATTTTTATCCTGGGCAGTGAAAATAGCACCAACAGGAGACTCTACACCTTCTCAAATGGGAAACCAAGTTCCTACACTCAAGATAAACCTTTTCAGTTTGGAAAGCTCTTCTTAGAAAAAGTCTTCATTTTTCCATCTTCCTTGTCCCCTCCCTGCTCCAAAGCACAGAGAAAATTTAAACTTTTTCATCAGAGGATGTCTCTTCTTTGATCCCACTTTGAGACAAGCAAGACACCAGGAATCTTGCTCACTGTATCATGCCCAATAGATACAATCAGGGGCTGCTGTGTTTGTCTCCTCCCTTTCTGCCCCATGAAGGGTTATTTTTCTCTATCTTATTGCATCACCTGTTTGCTTTAAGCCATAAAACAAATAACCACATCTCTAGTGAGACTCCCCTTTGTCCCTGGGTATCATAATGGTCTGTGGGTTTGGTTTAAAGCTAAAGAAAGGAGAAAGAGCGAGAGAAGAAGAAAAAAGGTATTTTGCCTGAGGACTTGAAGCTTTTTTTCCCCCCCTTTTTTCCTCCGCTTGACTGACTTTCTCACACTCAGATTCCCTGCAGCCTGCCAGGGACGTGGTAGCTGCCCTGCCAAGGGCTATCCTGGGAAGGCTATTGAAAGAGCTTTGAGTAAGTACACACTGGGCGGATTTCCCCTCCCCTCCATACCTGCTCCGCACCTGTACAGGGAGAAGTCCCACACCTATCACCTGATCGCAGCCCTTTCAGAGGCCGTGAGAAAAATAAAGCCCAGGATAGAGAGATGTTTGTCTCTGTAGGGCTGGAGCCAGCTCCCTGCAGTCCAAGTGCCCAGAAACAGCACATTCCTGGTTTGGTGTGCACGCGTGTTTGCCCGCGAGCGTGCTGGGTGGGGGCACTGGGAAGGGGAGGGAAGTCAGGCATCACCTGCATAATGTAATGACTGCCTGGCTGCCTCTGTCTTCTGGCATCTGCCTGACTGGTGGTTTTGCGATCCTTTACTAGAATCATTATTATGGTACTTCCAGATAAGAGTCCGTATGCACTCACGGCAACAGAGCTCACCACAGGGATTTCTGACAAAGTTCATGGATAAACCCCCAGGGAGCCTGTGAAGGCCCTGAAATGGAATTCTTTCCATGCAGAAGTTTAATAAATACTTTTTGAATCAATGAACAAATGCCTCATTCCCCCTGCCCCAAGGAGAGTGTCCATAGCATTTAGCAGAATCTCAAAGTTTTTTGTGACCCAGAAAGGTTGAGGAAGCTGATGGAGGCTATCTATGCCTACCTATAAGTGGGTACTCTTAAGGCCAAGAGAGGGCCAGACATTGGTTCAAGCAACACAGGGCCAGAGCGGGGGCCAGAAGCCAGCTCAGAGCCCTTTCCAGCATGCTACAGTGAGGTGGGCATTGGGAAATTGATGGTGGGGTTTATAGAGTTGTGGTCAGCATCAGAACTTGAATTTAAAATAGATACTATAATAAAGATACTTTGAATTTCCAGCACATTCCTCCCCCCCCCACACACACCCCTTAATTTTGAGGCACTTGTGCTCTGCACTCAGCATTTGGATGGGGAAAGGGATAGGCAAGAAAGCCAAGTGTCTACCCATAGAAGAGGATTCAGGAATGCTTGCAGTGAGAGTCCTGGTTGCCATGCAGTGTCGTTTGAAACAACCGCAACTCTACATTCCATCTTTGATAAAAATAAGTTGCTGCTTCTGAACAAAACTGCCTACTTGGTTTCTGGCCAAGCTAGGACCTTGAACTGCAAACTAGGGGTGAAGATGGAAAAATAGAAGCTTTCAGCATTTGCTCATAATGTAATACTTTATGCCACCCCCTCCCCCGACCCCACCTTGGAAAACTTGACTACAGCCAGCGGGACCAAGGGAATGTGCACTTTACTAATGGGCCCTGAAAGAGGATGGTTGCCAGGAAAGCCTTTCCCAAAGGGTGGGGGCTGGGCACTGGGAACAGCTTAACTCCCACATTTGGCCTGGCCTCCCGCAGCAGTCATGGCAGGCAGGCTCCAAATGTGCTCTCAGCTAACCTTTTACCCTCTGAGCAGGGCTGCAGTGAGGCAAGACTTCAAGCCCAGGGATGAAGGTGGGCACTCCCGAGGGATGTTATGGATGTTGACTTGCATGCTTGTGTGTGAAAGGCTCAGAACTACACAGGGCCTAATGCCCCTGGGGGCCTCTGGAAGGTGGGGTAAAGTCTTAGCCCCTATACACCTGGGGCATGCATTTGTTTGGCTTGCTCACGCTGTTCAAATTTTGACATCAGATCAAATTCCTCAGAAAAAACAAAAACAATTCAGCTAGCCAGGAGAATCATTTGCATAAAACTTAGGGCTAGATGAATGTATAAGGCATAGTTTAAATCAAAGTCACTTTCATTGTTATCCTTGCTTATTTTCCTCAGCTTACAGAGACAGTTGAGGGAGGCAGAGGAAGAGATCTAAGAGGTGGCTGAATGGGTCCACTGATTGAATGCATGGGAAAATTGGAAGAAGTGACTGGACTAAGGTTTAACAACCTCCCCAGAAAGGGAAGAGAAAGCCAGAATTAGGCTCAAGTTTCCTGCTCACCAGTCCAGAAACCCGCCCTGCTGTATCTGTAAGAATGTTTTGAAACATCATCTGCAGCAAGTGACTAACATTACCACCAGAGATGAATTTTCTGGTTGAGAACCAGAGCTACCTGCTGGTGTGCGGCCATACGATAGACTATGCCCAGCACACAGCATTGTTAAATGCCAGGCTTGCTGCACTGTGATTCCCTCTTAAATTTGCTCACCACCCTGTGAGCTCCAGAAAAGAAGCGATCTTGATTTCTAAGTTCCAGGAGACAGAAAGTCAGTTGCGCAGGGGCCACACAGAATAGCGGATGGAGAGGTGAGAAAAAGAATGAATTTTCCCAAGTGGTAGAGAGCTGGTGAGGGTTTCCCAGGTGGCACTAGTGGTAAAGAACCCTCCTGCCAATGCAGGAGATGCCAGAGACTCGGGTTTGATCCCTGAGTTGGGAAGATCCCCTGGAGGAGGAAATTGCAAGTTACTCATCTTCTTGCCTGGAAAATTCCATGGACAGAGGAGCCTGGCAGATTATAGTCCATGGGGTCACAAAGAGTTGGACACAACTGATGAACTGAGTGCGCACACACACACACACACACACACAAAGATGGTATTTGCATGTGAGATATATACTTTCCTTTTAGATACCAGCCTTAGGGAACAAGCCTTCTAACACTGGGGGGTTGGAAACTTCTGGTCTCTTCCAAAGAATTCCTCACTTGTCCTCCTGCCTTGTAGTACTTGACAGTGGACAGAGCACTTTCTACTTCATTACAGCATTTTGTCCTCATAGAAGGTCTTTCTTTTTTTTTTTTTTTTCCTTCCATAGAAGGTCTTGATGGAAGGCCCATGGAGGGAGACAGAGAGAGGATTTAAGTTATTAGTTCAGGAGACCATGGGCTGTTGGAGGCAAAGGTTATAGAATAGACAAGCTTCCTGGAAAATAGTGCCTCTGAAGAAACAGGGCAGGGAGCTTAGAGCCCAGGAGAGAACAGACTTTCCTTTCTCAGTCACCAGCAAGAAAAAGATAATAACTATAAACTTGGTAGAGCAGAGCAGTAATCTGGAAGGCAGGGAGCAAGGGTATTTTCTTGTGGTGGGAAGCCAGGGGGGGATGAGGTGAGGGAAAGGAATCCACTTAGCCAGAGGTAAGTTCCAGAAAGGACATGAACAGTTGATGATCATAGATTTTACTGGACTGAGGCTGAGATGGCTAGTTCAACATCCGAAATCATCTAAGAAATTTCCCAGAACATCTCAAGAGACTGGGTCTGTGACTGAGGGCCATTATAGAATGCTGGAACCTACATCACTTTTCCTCACTAGTTATTTGTTCTATGCTGTTTGTATTGCTATAGGCATAACAAAAGTGCCCACAGACTGGAAAAAGTGATGGAATTGTTTGGGGTGATGACAGGGAATGGGGGCAGTACCGAGACTGCATCCTACTCTGTCGCCAGTCTGAGGGTGGTGGTCCTGGAGAGGAGGTGGTGGGCTGATTCAGAACAGAGGGGGAGGGAAGCACATCAGTTTCTTGTAGCACCAGGGAAAGAACCAAGGACCCAGGCTTCATCCCCAGCTTTCTGACCATGTAGGCAACTGTGCACACATCACAGTGCATTCTGGCTCCCCCCAGTCCAATTCTAGGGGAGACATTATGGGAAGTAGAGGAGAGGAAGCTCTCCTTTTGCCTGGTTGGACTTCCATAAGCCCCTTGCCTGACTGACAGAGGTCTCTTGATAAAGTCCCCGAGTGTGGCTGCCTCCCGGACCATGTTGCCAAACTGTGCAGGTCTCGTCCATGGATCTAGCTGTGGCCATTTTTGCTCCAGACTCCCACAGGCACAGAGAGACCAGGTACTCATGTTCAAGTATTTGAGCTCCTTGTCTTGGCAGGGGAGGGCCACTATTCAACCCTTTCCACCCTCCTCACCTGCTCTCAAAGTCCTGGCACCTGGGACAGACCTGGATTGGTGTCTAGAACCCCATCTGGATGGAAGGTGGAGTTCCAGTTTGTCTTCTTTGTATGGAGTGAACCTGTGTGGATGGTAGTCAGACAACCCAGCCAGGGGTTAAAACTGTCCAATCTCCAATAGCCTGTTTAACTTAATTCAGGTCAATGACTATTAGTGAGCACCTATTATGTGGAGGGGCTTCCCTGGTGGTTCAGTGGTAAAGAACCCACCTTCCAATGCAGGAGACGCAGGTTCAATCCTTGGGTCAGGAAGATCCCCTGTAGAAGGAAATGGCAGTCCACTTCATTCTTGCCTGGGAAATCCCATGGACAGAGAGAGGAGCCTGGTGGGCTACAGTTCTTGATGTTGCAAAAGAATCAGACACAACTTAGTGACTAAACAATAGCAACTGTGTAGAGGGCAGAACCACACACCTAATTTTTTTCAAATTAAATTTGGCTTTATTTATGTATTTACGTATGCACACCTATTTTGACAGCTACTTCCATCCCTGCCTGCTATTCAAATGCTATTCATCTGTGCAGAGGGGTGGCATCCCAGGTTTATATTATAAAAGTTGCCCCATTTACTTCCCACATTCTTTACTTCCATTGCTTCTCTGATAAAGAAGTGAAGAAACTCCTTATGGCATCTGGTACAATGTCTTTCACAGAGTCAGCACCCTGAAATACTTGGAGAATAAATGCATGAATAAACTTCAACATTAAAAAAAAAAGTTTTACTGGTGATTCAATGGACCTCCTGAGAGGGTCAGTGTATTTTTCTAAATTTTCCTTGGTTGCTGAGTGCAAGTGCCTCCGGGCAAGCCCCTCTGGGCAGCAGGGACGCCCCTGTGGACAGCTCTCGTCTGTTGCAATCAGGTGGATTGAGAGGAATCTGCGGCTGTGCTTTCCCAGGCCTATCTTTATTGATGGTTATTAAATACACACCACCACATGGCAATACGAAAGTACAAAGCAATTCCCAGGGTAAGGTACGTGGGAAGGAGTGAGATACTGAGCTCCCAAACAATTCTACAGTAATCGCAGTCTGCCATATCTACGTATGGTTAATAAGTAAGATGTAAGCAGGCAAGTTCCATCACTGGGCAGCAGATGGAAAGGAAAAAGGCCATGGGAGAGATCACTAGTCCTGCTGGAAAACTGGCAAAGAAAACAAGCAGGATACCTGGAAAAGGTGAGTCTGGTGGGCCGTCACCGGGAAGTGTGGAAGCCTACACCTTGTCCCCAGGACGGACCATTGCTCACATCCTCCTGGCTTACTCTCCCTATGCATGCCAGCCCCTCATGGAAGATTCTGTATAACCAAGAATATATAGGAATCACAGCTGGACACACTGGGTTAAATGTGTCAATACAGAGCATGAAAACACCTGTTTTTACAGAGTACCCCAACACACCTGTTGTTTTATGATGCTGAGTGTTATTGATAAAGGGGGCTATAAAGTCAAGGTCTCATATTTAAATAGCACCTTCCTTGATATTTTACAGCTGAGATTTGACTGATTATTTCTGTTAGGAATGTTGAGTGCATATCTCTATGTATGTGCAGGGTGGCTAAAAAGCAAAGACTCTGGAGCCTGACTGCCTGGGTTCCTGTTCCAGCTTGTTCACTTTCTAGCTATGTGACATGTCCATTCTATGCCTCAATTTACTTGCCTGTTAAATGGGGAAAAATTCAAAGTGCTTACCTTATAGGATTGTTAGGAGGACTAATATATATGATATTCTAAGAACAGTACCTGGTATATTGTAAACACAAATATAAATTCTCAGCTGCTTTTACCATTCATATGTATGTATATGCCATATATTGATATATATATGCCATGTATTTATGTATTTATATCTAACATATAAGATAGACACTCATTCACTTAAAAATATTCAGAATATGTTAATATTCTCAAAGAAATGGATGAACAACCACTGTGATAAATTGGTCCATGAGTATTTGGCAAACCAAAAGCTTCAGCCAGTCTTTTATGAATCACAGGCTGTGGGACCAGGAGAAGCCTAAAAGGTTAGCTGGCTTCTCCTTCTTTTCCAGGAAGGAGGGTCTCTACCACCTGAGCACTTTGGTTGTGGCTTTGTGGGAAAATGCCAACCTTGGTGTAGTCTTGTCTGGAATAATTAGAACCTCAGGCCTGTAGAGGGGCTTACCTGGTAGCTCAGCTGGTAAAGAATCTGCCTGAAATGCAAGAGACCCTGGTTTGATTCCTGGGTTGGGAAGATCCCCTGGAGAAGGGATAGGCTACCCACTCCAGTATTCTTGGGCTTTCCTGATAGCTTAGACAGTAAAGAATCCCTCTGCAATGCGAGAGACTGGGTTCAATCCCTGGGTTAGGAAGATCCCCTGGAGGAGTACATGGCAAGCCACTCTAGTATTCTTACTTGGAGAATCCCCATGGACTGAAGAGCCTGGAAGGCTACAGTCAGTGGGGTTGCAGAGTCAGACATGACTGAATGACTAAGCGTGACACAGCACAGGCCTGTGGCAAGGAGAGTTCTGGATGGAGGCAGGTATATCGTCAGGGGCCAGGCGCACAGGATGTGTGGATGACTCACTCCCCCTCCCCCTCCCCCACCACTGGAAGGAACACTCCATCTAAAAGAGTAAACACTGGCAGGCCCTCCCTGGATCCCAGTCACACTTCTATAAGATAAGATGGGTGGGAAAAATGAATACCTGAGACCTTTCTTGATCTAATAGATTCTTATAGATGACCATATAATTTATGGTCTAAACTGGAACAGTTTAGAGAGTGAAAGCTAACAATTATGTCAGGACAATTGGCATAAAAAATGGGACATGTGGTCATTGTAATTCTGTGGGTCTATGATGGCAGGTCCTAGATTGTTCATCTGTCTATTTAGGTATCTTTTATCAGAGAAGCTTCCTAAGAAGAAATTTTTCTTTGTCCCTGCCCTGTGGCTTGTGGGATCTTAGTTCCTGACCTGGAATTGAACCTGTGCCACCTGGCAGTGGAAGCTTGGAGTCCTAACTACTGAACTGCCAGGGAATTTCCAAGAAATGTTATTTTAAGTCACTAATGTTTTAGCATTTCCCCATCATTGGAAGGTGATGCCATTGATCTACCTTCTATATAGCGAGAAGCCCCGGTTTTGAATCTAGAGGAACTTTGTTGATGTTGTTCGATTGCTAAGTCATGTTTGACTCTTTGCCACTCCTTGGACTGCAGCACGCCAGGCTTCCCTGTCCTTCACTACCTCCCGGAGTTTTCTCAAATTCATGTCCCTTGAGTTGGTGATGCCATCTAACCCATCTGATTCTCTGCCACCCTTTTTTCCTTTTCAGTGTATATAGGAAACAGGAGGTCAGAGCGGGGTCCTTGTGATGGTTAGATGGTTGTGCTTGAGGCATGTTTGACATGACTTGGTTTCTTCTTTGACAGAGCAGGTATACTTCAAGCTTCCCCACCTGTGAGTTTGCATCCAGGTTACAGCTACCGCATAGCAATGCTGCCAGGGACTCTTGCACTGACCACCCATGGCTTAGAACATCCATTTTTTTCTTTAGCACGTGAATGTGGAAAAAAATGAGTGCTGCAATCTGAAACTCAGGCCATTGTTTGATGGCTGAAGGAAGACTCCAAAGGAAAGAACATTTTTCCCACCTGAAATATTTGCCCTTTTCACTTTGAATTTGACTCTTTCAAGGGAAACAAAAAACAACCCTCCCCCAAACCAAAGACCAAACAAACAAACAAAAAAAATCACATTTTTTTTTTTAACTGAATAGGTCAAACTCAAGGTTTGCTCTTAAAAAAAAAAAAAAGAAAGAAAAGAAAAATGGCTTCCTCACCCGAGTGTTCTTATATGTGCCTATTTAATGATTAATAATACCTTGTGGTCTATTGTTTGATGTGGCCTCTGCTGGTTTGAACAGGAGAATACTGAATCACTCCTCAGGCATTTATGAATCACAAGTGTTTACCCTGAGACAATAAATGAAAGGGGGAGATTAAAAAAAAAAAGACACCCAAATATGCTGAGTTCTTTGAGTAAAAACTGGAGATAACGTGGGCTCTCAGTCTTTGATACCCTGTGTGGGGCCCACCGCTTTCTCTCACAGAATGAAGATTGTGTTGAGTGACCACGACTGGGCCTTTTGAATTTTATAGATTTTTTTCCCTTTCACTGGCTGAGAGGTCTGAGGCAACTTCCCCCACTCAGCTTCCAGGTCACGTGCCTTCGTTCTCTCTCCACCTGTCTGGTCACTCTTGTCAGTGGTCTGCAAAAAAGTCTTTCTGAGTTTTTAGAGGCTCCCTTTCTGCAGAGTCCCACACTTCCTTCTTCTGGTTTTAGCTGGTGCAAGGGAGGCCCTGGCAGAGGAGTAGAGATTTGCCTTTATTAAAGGAGGCCTGAAGGGCTGGGGAGAATTAAGAAATTCAGACACTTGTCAGGCCTTGGGTCATGGTGGGGAAAGAGGACTCAAAAGATGACATGCAGGGCTATCCTGTGAACAACAATTCCACTTTTAGTAATAACCTCTAGACTTATTTTCATGTCTTTCTCTCTCCAGACCTAGTGTTCAGTGAAAAATAACTGCCAGATTTGACCCTGATGAGCCTTAAAACATTTCTGAGAGAATTTTAGGCTTACAGAAAAGTTGCAGATCTACTGCAGCCCTCCCTCTTATCCCCGTTACCCAGCTTCCCCTCTGTTACCACCCCACCTTGGTGACATGGTTATCTTATATAGCCATGGAACGATCATCAAAAAACAACCTTGGTACAATCCTATCAAGGATAGGTTTGTTTCAGATTTCACCATTTTTTCCACTCTATTTTTTTCTGTTCCAAGATCCCATCCAGAGTCCACAGCACATTTAGCCCCACCAGGGCTGGAAGGACTGAAAGAAGAGCC